AGGGACTCAAAGAGACTAAAGTTTCAATCCCAAAGCCTGCATAGGTCTGTGCTATATTTTCTGCATATATGTGTTATGGAGTTTAGTGATCTCGTGGGACTCCTAACAGTGGGAATGGTTCATGTATCTCACTCTTTCATCTACTCTTTTGGACCCTTTTCTTCTACTGAGTAGCATTTCTTAGCCTTGGTATGAGGGTTTGTGACTAGTCTAATTATAACTTGTCATCCCATGTTTGGTTGATATATCTGAAGTCCTGCTCTTTTCTGAAGAGAAAGGGTGGGTTGAACTGGGGGAGAGGGGAGATGGGGCACTGTGGTTTCAATGCAGTGTATGAGAGAAGGATACATTTTAAAAATAAAATAAAGATATATACTTCCCTGCTCACATATTCACTCCTCCTCTATCCCAACTGTCCCATTCCCCAAAGCTCTCCCCATCCTCCCCTTCTCACTTCTCTCTCCCCATCTCCCCTTACTTTCGTCCCATCCCCACCCCCAAGCTCTCAATTTTTGCCTGGAAATCTTGTATACTTCCAATATCCAGGAGGATAACTACATGGTTTTTTTTTGGGGGGGGGATTCACCTTCCTATTTAGCTTCTCTAGGATCATGAATTATAGGCTCAATGTCCTTTATTTATGGCTAAAAATCCACTAATGAGTGAGTACATACCATATTCATCTTTTTGGATTACCTCTCTCAGAATAGTGTTCTCTACTGGACTGAGCTCCCAAGGTCCAAATGAAGAGCAGAAGGAGAGAGAACATGAGCAAGGAAGTCAGGGCCGCGAGGGATGTGCCCACCCACTGTGACGAAGGGACTGATCTAATGGGAACTCACCAAGGCCAGGTGGCCTGGGACTGATGGAGCATGTGATCAAACCGGACTCTCTGGACGTGGCTGACATGGAGGGCTGACTGAGAAGCCAAGGAAAATGGTACTGGATTTTGATTCGACTCCACGTACTGGCTTTGTGGGAACCTAGTCTGTTTGGATCCTCACCTTCCTAGACCTGGATGGACAGGGGAGGACCTTGGACTTCCTATGGGGCAGGGAACCCTGACTGTTCTTTGGACTGGAGAGGAAGGGGGAGGGGAGTGGGGAAAGGGAGAAGGAAATGGGAGGAGGGGAGGAGGTGAAAATTTGTAATAATAAAAAGTAAAATAAAAGCATCCAGTTTTCAAGAGATTGCACTGAAGAGTGTTAGCATTTTGGCAAATATATATTCTGAGGCAATAAATTAGAATTAACATCTTGAAAATAATATTCTTCAGTTTTGATTGAGCTCCAGGCCACAGCTATTTTATCGACACTTTACGCTGCCTGCATAGAAAGTCACACAATCAAATTGTATTTTATATTTTAAAATGACTTGCTTTATAGTTCAATCTGTATGTACAAACACCTTTAAAGAATCGACGTGGCAGGTGACTGTTTTGCATCCTTTTCCAATGGAGAAGGAGCACACATATCTATCCACCTGAGAAAGGGAATCTGTACTCACATTAGATCAATAAAGTCCAAAATTTTAAACCAATTAGCTTTTGTGGGGCGGAGGATTACTAAGAAGAGTGCTGAAGAGAATTTTCTCACAAGGAGAGGGATGTATGAAAAGCAGCTGCCTCACTGCAGAGCCCACCACCATCCTATGTGGTGACTCCTGAAACCTGCACACCAGTGATCTCTCTGCATATCTGCAAGCAAAGCATCCCTTGCCACTATCTCTTCTGTTATCAGTTCAGCTGGGCACAATCTCCTTTCATGGTAGTCTTTTACTCCTTGTTATCTACTCAGGAATCCTCAAGTTTCTGTTCTTTTAGAAATGTGACCTTTTGTTTACTTCCTGTCTTGCCCAACATGATGGAGGGAACATTTTTGTTTAGACAAACTATACCTAGGGATTAGGCGATCACATTTTTTTCTTGATGAAAATATTTACCTACTCGTCTATATAGTATTTAGAATGGAAGTTCAAAAATGATAGTTAATATGCATGAAGTACAAGAGTACTAGCAATGCAAGATATGTAGCTTGTACCTTCCACGTCTTGTAACGAGGAAAGTCTTCCAGTGGAGGGATTGGGATGCCAACCCAGCCATATAACCTCTGACCTACAATTTGCTCTGCTTCCAGCTCTGCTGGATTAAAGGTGAGGTTGAAATTGTAGAAATGACCAACCATTGGTTTGTCTGTTTTGAGACCCATACTACGACAGGAAGTCCATAGCTGACAAAGCTTGGAGGGTCAGTACCCAGAGCCTGGACAACCCCAAGACACAGGATAAATCAAACATGATTGACTACAAAGGAAAAAAATCAATGAAATGATTTCTGATGATATTTTGCTATACTCATAAATTGTTGCCCAGCCTTATTGTCATCAGAGATGCTTCACCCTGCAGCTGATGGAAACAGATTCAGAGATTCACAGCCAAACATTAGGCGGGCATAGGGAAATTCTGTGGAAGAGGAAGAGAAAGAATTATAGGAGACAGAGGAGCCAAGAACACCAAGGGAATATGTGCAGAGTCAACAGACCTGGGCTCGTGGGGGCTCGTGGAGACTGAACCACCAGCCAGAGAACGTTCATTAGACTGTCCTGGGCCCTTTATACAAGTGTTTAAGTTCTGTGGCTTGGTACTCTCCTGGGACTTCAGGCAGAGGGACTCTGTTGCCTGCTCCCGGAAGCCTTTCCTCTTGTGGAGTTGTCTCCTCAAGCCTCAATAGCACTCTTACTGCAACTTGACTTGCCTTGCCTGGGATATACGTGGGAGGATTGCATTTTTCTGAAAGAAACGGATAGTTAGTGAATAGAGGACAGGATGTTGGAGAAGGGACTGGGAAGAGATGACAGTGGGAGGGAAAACTGTGTAAAACAATTGATTGATTAACTATTAAAAAATAAAATAAATAAAAAACACTTATATAGAGAAACTACAGGTGAAGATTTCAATCCAATTGAATTATTCAGAACACTACACAGCTGAGGAGACAGCTCAATGGTTAAGAGTACTACCTGATCAGTCCAAAGGTTCTGAGTTCAATTCCCAGCAATCACATGGTGACTCACAAACATCTGTAATGAGATCTGGTGCCCTCTTGATTTAGAGACCTGGTCAGTTGTCCTCATTAACTTATGCCATGAAACCCAATATAGATAAGTTCAACAGGACCACCATATATGGGATGTCCATGCATGTTTCAACATTGCTAGGGCATAAATTTCATTTTGCATGGCGGTGGTGGCACAGTCCTTTAATCCCAGCACTTGCGAGGCAGAGGCAGGTGAATCCCTGTGATTTCAAGGCCAGCCTGGTCTACAAGAGCTAGAGCTAGTTCCAGGACAGATTGGACTGTTACACAAGGAAACCCTGTCTCAACACCCCCCCCAAAAAAAGAACACTACAGAACAAACTTTCCTTATAGGATATTGACTAATATGATGTTGAATAAGATGTGTGTGTGTGTGTTTAAAACAAAAACATGTCTCCTACAGTCTACCACTGGCAGATACAACTATGTAACTATTTTTTTAAAAAATTTTATCCAAATATAATATTATAAATAGCAGAAATCTTACAGATATAATTTAATAAAGTTTAACATATCTGCATATTAAGAGCTGGAAAAAGAACATTATTCTCCAAACCCTATTTGTTTTGTGAGAAATAATTATTAATTTTTACCACCAAGATTTTATTTTTCTACAAGTGTTGCCATAGCAATGCCATCTTAAAAAATGACAATTGTTATCTAGGCACAGGTATTTTTAATTTTACAAAACTGTCCTTATCCTCTACTTCACATAACCTATTTAGAAGCATCATCAAATTCTGACATTTCTGGATCCTACAAAGGGCTTCAAATATCCTTGGGTACTTTATCCTCAGGTTTCTGGGTTAAAGTTCATTAGACTGTTGCTCAGTGACCTTGGGAGCCTCTGAAATGATTGTACAAGGAGTTTTGGGATAATTATGCTTGTGAGTACTATTATGAGTATTGAATATGTGTTTATTTGGAAAGACACTCTCTTTTTAAGACCATATATAGAATGTAGGCTTAGTCATTCAGCTGTGTTTAACTGTAATGCATATTTCCCACAATAAAGTTTAATTATGCCATACTTACGGAAAATAAACTAATCCAACATACTTAGCATTCACATTACAAGAAAGCCAGTCATCAGGAATGCTCTAAATAATTTCTTTTATTTTATATGAGAAACAAGAACACAGATAAACCTACTTTTTTACAAGTAAATACATTTAAATCAAATCTATCAAATCTGATGATAGATTTGGATAAAACGACAGTTTAAACCTTTCAATTGTAAGGAATATTTACACACAATGCACCTGTATCTATTGTTCTTTTTTGAAGTTGTGTTTCTGCCTTATAATTTATTATAAATTTCATGAAACTATTGTTTCTAACATTATTAGAAATGAGGGCCACCATACTCTACTTTCATAATAAATGAGAAAGGAACACAACTTTCTTTTCCTTTCTTCTTCCTTCCTTCCTTCCTTCCTTCCTTCCTTCCTTCCTTCCTTCCTTCCTTCCTTCCTTCCTTCCTTC